ACAATTTGATCATGACCTGTCCTTTGATTCACATAGCCAAATCATTCTAAATAAATGCAATAGAGCCTTGAATATAGTCAAGTTTCTTTGTGGTACTTGGTGATGGGCTGACCCTGAAATCTTGTTAACTCTGTACCGAAGCTTTGTGCGGTCGCTGATTGAATATGCTAGCTTCATCCACCTTCCAGCGCGAAAAACCAGGATTGATAAGATCGAGAAAATTCAATTAACAGCTATCAGATGCACGCTGGGTTACAGGATTTCCACGCCAAAAAATATCCTATTAGCGGAATCCAAGCTCATGTTCATTCAGGACAGGGCAGGGCTTCTTTGTAGTATGTATTTAAGTAAAATTCTTTCTAATCCAGCCCTACCGCTTGCTAAGGAAATTCTAGAGTTCAGAAAAAGATGTGCTAAATGTAAGAGAAAAAAGAAATCCATTCTAAGACGATGTATTGAATCTCTTTCTGAGTTAAAATGCGACACCAAAAGTATCTGCTCATCAAACATCTTCGCACACTCATATGAAATAATTGTCATCTTGATTCCTTTCAATAGAAGTTTAGATGAAATTCTGGCTCAATTGATAATGTAAACACTCGGGGTGGGGCATTCTCTATTTATACTGATGGGGTCTGCCTGCTTTTGCCCGGAGTTAAATTACCTCAAAACAAGATCTTTACATCCTAATCCTCAGTGTTCACGGCTGAGTGCGTCGCCCTGAGTGATGCTCTGGACCTTGTCCGTCCAAATGTAAATACTAAGTTTCATATCTTTTCTGACTCTCTTAGTGCTCTAGAGAGCCTCTCCAGCTCTCTCGCGAGTATAAAAATAAACTTCTATACCCTGGACATTAAAAAAAATACTTCGAGCTCACGACGGCTGGGGGTAATAATAACAGATGTTCTATCAAATTTTGCTGGGTCCCCTCACACGCCGGCGTCCTTGGGAATGAAAGAGCTGACACCCTCGCGAAAGAAGTCACGCTCTACTCGCCCAACGAGTCTCCACCTCCTATTCTATTCACTGATCTTTTTGAAGACTATAAAAAGTCATTCACGAATAACACTCGCAAAAAAATTAAAAAAGATGGTATGACTAAGGGTAAGGTATACTTTCAGGAGTTTTCTAATGATGGTCCCAAACCGTGGTTCTTCCACAAAGGTCTCAACAGAGAGACAATAGTTATTATAAATAGATGTAGAGCCAATCATTTTAACCTTGGTGTATCCCTTAAGCGCATAGGCATAGTCGATGACGATCTTTGTAAATGCAGCAAGAATGTAAAAGACTTGGATCACGTATTATGGCACTGCGATCTATATACCAGCCAGCGTAGTGTACTTTTTAACGACTTGAAAAAACTTAAGCTTCACAATCAGCTTGATTTTCAAGCAATGCTCAAAAGGCCAAATATCTCCGCGTGTTTATGCATGGTCAAATACCTTGTGAATTGCAAACTGTATTTGTAAGCCATTCATCTACCTATGTAATATAAATTGTATATTTCTATATTTTTCTATTTCGTATCTGTACATATGTATACTTTTTTTTGTACATTGGCATAGCCAAAATAAACCTGTATTGGTTTAAGGTGCTTAATAAAATGAAAAAAAACCATTTTAAGAGTTTATCTAAAGAAACATGGATTTGATATCAAGTTTGCAGGGAATAGACTTATACAAAATGTGTGCCAGGTGCTGGTTTTACTTTCGTCTGTATCATTTGCAACAGTGACAATGCCGATTAAGTTCACAAGATCTTTTATAATATAAGCTATATTGATAATTACATAAGTATTCGAGTCTAACTTTGAACAAAAGGACTGAATATACTCTTAAATTTAAGCTTAAGATCTGTTGATGTTTTGTTGATTCTATTTTTATATTATTATTCAATGAAAATTACTTTGAGCTTTGTTGTTTTGTTTCTAAAAAATTATAAATCAAAAGTTGACTGTCAACAAAAAATTTTATTTCATGTCTAGTTAACGTCAAACTCATGGTTGGGCTAGAGTCTATGAGTGTTCAATTTTCTCTATACCCTTACTCAACTTTCTCCGGGATGATATTCCGACCTGGGTGGCAAACACCCCGGTAAGGATATCTTACTTTGTTCCGATGGTCAACATATTATTTTTTATATAATCGTCCAAAATTCAAGTTTATTCTCTGTTTTGAGGTTGGAAAAGTGACGTTGTCTCTCTCGCAGAGAAAGATAACACCCGTCTGGGCATGCGCACATAAGACTTTTTGTCTTTTTATATGGGATAGAATACGTCGCTTTGGGACCCAAAAACGGGAAGCAAAATTTTTTGTTTGACATAATAAAATCAAAAAAATAGTACATTTCACACCTAAGAAGAAAAAGTAGACTAGCTTAAACCAGTGTAAAATTTATCCCGCATAAATAGACAAAAAATCGTCCGTCCGACTCTGATAGAAAGTACTGTAAGAATAAACGTTATAATTCGGTATTTTCGTGGGACGATAAATGTAACCGTGTTAAGCGTCTGAAGCGCCCAGGTTTTAAGAAATGGAAATATACAGGAGGCTTTGCGGATTTGAGTTTTCACAAGAAATCTCAAACAAAGAGTTTTTTCAATTCACTTATCGTTACAAAAACATTTGGTATGATTGGAGCATTTTTAAAATCTTTGAATACAGTCAGAAACTAAACATTCATATAAGTTTATAAATATGCTATCAATAATTATGTAAGTAGTTTAGATGGGTTTCTTTATAATATGCTCATCATGTCTAAAATTAAAAAAGTTGTCTATTTTGAGATAGATTAAATATTAATGGCAACATACACAGAGAAAACTTTGTGTATGTGAAAACACACTTACGTTCGTTTCCTTTCTGCAGCAGCATCTGACGTCTGACGTCGATCGTATGTTGATCTTACGTTAGGAAACCAAAACACAGCAACATACGTAAGTCTGACAACAGTCTATTTCCTAATGGATACAAGGGAAATATTCGAAAATGATGAACCACGTGTTTTTTCGGCGGAAAAACGTTTTGAAGGGGTAAAAATCACCCTCAAAGTTAACACCCTATAAAGGTGATTTTTCATTTTCACATATTTTTAATCGAAATTTTCTAAAACGACCTTATACGTTAAAAACAATTTAAAAAATGATGAAAAATACCTTTATTTACATATTTATATAACTTGCGAATATACATTTTTTTTATTAAAAATAACAAAAAATCTATTATTTATTTTTTAATGAGACCAATTTCAATCGAAAGAACATAAAAAATTACAAGATACATGTCTTTGCAATTTTTGAAGCAACATCGAAATCGATGCCAAGAAAACTGTTCTTTTTTTTCGAAAAAATCCATAACAAAAAATCTATAACTCAAAAACTAAAAATTATTCTTTGATGGGACCAATTTCAATCAAAAGAGTATAAAAATTTACGAGATACGCGTCTTTGCAATTTTTAAAATAACATTAACGACAGTAAACAAAATTGCAATTTAAAAATTCCCAATTGCTATTAATGAATTATTCACAGTCACAATAATCACAGAATAAAATACGTCGTAATTAGAAACTGAATAGTTTATGGTTAGTCAAAATATTATTTTTTGTTATTGTCATGCGGGCAAACTTAGATATAATTCTTATCACAGGCACTGATGAACTATTTTTGAAAAAAATTGTTTCTGTAATTGTAATATACAGATGATTTAATGCTAGAATTTTGAACAAATGTGACATATTTTAATAATTTAAACAATTGTAACATTATTTTTTTGCATTCATCTTTAATACTGTAGTGAATGGATATTTCTGTATCCCGTATTCATGTCAATTTTTGTTAACAGTCATTATTTTATATATGTATAAAATCGTGTGCTTGAAATAGAAATATTATCATCTTTTATTCTAAAAAGTGTGTTCAATAATGATGAATAATTTGTAAAATTTAAAGCATTATAATAGCTGAAATTTACTTGTATTTAATACTGGTATGTGAAATAATAGATACCGTAGAATAACATAACATGTGTTTCAAATTTTATTCAGATTATTAAAAAAAATTGACTAGTATCTTACAATAAAAATTACAGCAATAGTTGTTCTTCGTGTAAAAGTAAGATGAATGAAATGAAAACAATAGAAAAATATATTCTATAATTATAATCATTTTTAAACATGTAATAACTTTTAGGAAAGCGACCGACTATTATGTAGAGAGATTTGTGGAAAAAATATCCATGTTCTTATATGGAATAAAAAACTAAATTTTTAACATTAAAAATAGTCACTACATTCCAAAATTTTTGAGCAAATGAGGCATGGAAATATTAATTATAAGTGCTTGACACCAATGTAATATTAACACATCCTGTAATGAACAAGCTTATGTAGAGTTTAAATAAATATGCAAAAAAGAAAAAAATTGTATACAATACGTATACGTACTCTCTAAAAATTAATCAGGAAACATTCATTGATTCGTAGCTATAAGATGTCTACAATTTAAACAGCGGATAACTTATATATAGCTATAGCTGCGAATCCGTGAATATACCAATTTGTAGCGATTTTCACTTATTCATTTTTAAAGCGTAATTATTTTTTATAAAAAATATCTATTATGATACGATATATTTATAATTTAAAAATGATTCAAAACGAAGAGATAAATATTAGTAAAAAGTTCGTCATGTAAACATCCCTAATTGAATCTAGAGCAATGTTATATATTGGTTAAAATTTTTTTCTTTAACGTAAAATAAAGTTTCATGAAATCAAAATTATAGTTCACAATATCTGTTACAGAATGATAACTTCTTGTGAATTTTTTTTCCAGTATATAAACTATTTGTTATCATTATTCGAGATAATGATTGAAATTTTGTTATTGTAATATTAAACCTTTATAATAATTTCAATTGTACAAAAAGTATCTTTTAAATAATAATGACCGAAGAATATGGAAAAAGATGACAAATTTTTTTTTATATCTTTTACAGGGATAACCACGTATATCGTAGTACTTTATCAATCGATAGATGAAGTTACTGGGTTATCATCTGGGGCTCCGCCTTCTACCTGCAATGACCTTACGCCGAGACATAAAGACACTCATAGTGCAACCTCATATCTACCATATGAAATTCGACCTGCTATAGAGGAACGTAGTGTGAAAATAACATTAGGAAGTTCTCAAGGTCTTCCGTTTAAAGGATTTATAATCAACGCCCGAGATATTGCAACTCATCAGATAATTGGAAAGTTCGAAAATATTACTGAGGGTATACAGCCTATCAAGTGTGAAGCTGATGTCGATGTAATTTATGAATAATATTATTTTCAATTTTAATATTTCGTAAAAAATGCATGAACAAAAATCAATGTAAAGGTTGCAAATTTTATTGACATTAACAATTAATACTTATTAACTTAGAAGTTAAGAAATATTTAGTAGTCCAGTCAATATGGTTTAAAACTTTCACAAACAAAAGTTGAATTTTCAATAACCTAGTCGATTGTTCAATAAACGGCGATCATTTTATATTAACAATTAAATATCTTGAGAACTACTAACCAAAGAGAACCGAAACTGCTAATGAAATGTTGTTAAATAACACACTATGTGATGTGTGCCACAAATGTTTGCCACTCTTTGTCGTCACCAAAAAAGAAGTTTACAAACCAAATTGATAAATATTAGAAATAATTTTTAACTTTCACCTTTATCGAGGCATATAGACGAGACTATAAAGAGTATCTATATCTTAAATCATATTATTTATGAATCGAAAAGTTATCGTTGGCCTTCTAAGCTATGTAAAGTTCAGCGTTCCAGTAATAATTGAATAATGTCAGTGTTGTTACATTTTCAGAATACTGCTACTCACACTGACAATCAAGTAAAACATAATCTATTGTTGCAATGGGTACCTCCATCAGATTACGAAGGAACCATAATTTTCAAGTGAGTATACCGATTTTGCAATCCAGTTAGCTTTGGAAACAAGCTTCTCTGAATTCTTGAAAAACGATTTTTAAAAATTTTAAATCTAGAAAAAAAAATCAGATCTCATTAAATTGAATAAGAGTTATCTCAAACTAGAGATATGTATGTTTTTCTGAATGTTTAGCATAATTAATTTAGATATTAACAGAATTACAGTAGTCTGAATACATGACAAAAAAAAGGTTATAAACAATATGTAATTTTTACGAGTCATATTTCATCATTAATAATATTATTTTGTTGAAAGCATCCAAATCTATGTAATATACGCATCAGTTAATCGATAAATACAATTTTCAATTGTTTATAACAAATTCATATTGTTATAAACAATGCGTAATTGTTAAGAGTCATATTTGGTTATGAACAAAAATGTCAAGTCAGTATCGACTTAATTTTCAAATAAAATTGTTATTGTTTGGCTTAAAAGTATTTTAAATAGCTAATCTTTTACATACATACATACATACATACATACATCATTCTAAAAATATGTCAGTATGCTTGCAAATATCTTGAAACGTGGAGATTTAATAAAAATTTAAATTTCACCAATCGACCCAATTACAATAACTTCCTAATGGGAAGTTAATAAAATTTTTCGTAAAATATATATTTATATGTGTTCTATAAATAATAAAAATATTTATTATTCAAAGCGCCTCGAAGGGAAAAATATAGATATAGTACAGTAGAACCCGTTTAATACGATCACGCTTGATAGGATTTCTCGCATAATACGCCATTTTGCATCAGTCCCAGCAACTTGAGACATGTTTTTATACATCCCGCATAATACGCTTTCCCGCTTAAGGGGCGTTTTTGGTTGAGTCCCTGTGAAATCGTCTTGAACGGATTTTACTGTATATGAACTTTTGCGCACTAATTTTAGGCAAATAAATAGATTAAATAAGAAAATACCTACAGGAAAAGATTCGCGCAACAACGATCTATGGAATGAAACGAGATAAGGACGATTAGTTGAAGAATAAACAAAATATCCGAAATTAAAAATCTAAAGTGATTTGACAGATTTTGGTCGGCCGTATGTAAACGAGTAAGAGAGGTAGAAATATGAAAAACAATCTGTCAAATCGCTTTAGACTTTTAATTGAGTACACAGAAAAAATTTTATAGGAATTTTTACTAGTCAATTTTGGGGAAAATTTACTGCCCAAAAAAATTAAAAATTATTAATTTTTTTTTTTACTTTGAAAAAAATACTATTTTGGTTGGTAAAAAATTTCTAGAAAACAACTTATAGATTCTGAAATTTTTTCCGTGTAAATATTGCTATTTTTTTATTTGTTTTGCCAACATTTGGCAGTAGTTTTGATCCCACGCACGATGTGAAACGAACTAAACAGTTACTAGCGACATTTAGTCAACAGTTCTATAAATTATTTCGACTGGCCTTCTACCCCGGACTTATCCTAGAGTTAGAACGGTTATAATTGTGAAAAGTAAATAAAATATGAAATGTTGATAAATATAATAGTTAATGATAACACATTTTTTGAAATTTATTAATAAAAATAATAATTTTTTACAGTTCAACGATTGTTCAAGATTACGCAACTTATTGGATTGGCGTTGAATCTCCACCCATTACTGTACTGAAGGAAAACATAGAGCTATCAGAGCCATCAATACCATTATCTTCGACTCAAAGAACCACTACTGAACCATATTATGAACCTATGACAGAAAGCCCGGTAAAATTTTTATATTTTATAAAATTTAGTGAATTATATAAGTTTTATTAATTTCCCAGTCAAAGGTTATAGTGTCGGGTCCGATTTTGCGAATCCCGAATTTCGACATATCTTCACGTTTCAAGGCCTCCTAGAGTTGAATACGACAGTTTTCAGGTGGACGTCTGTATGTGTATGTGCGTACGTTCGAAATTATTTTTCGCCTCGATTATTTTGAGAACAAAAAATGACATCGACGTAGGACCAATTGTATTCGATGTATAATGATGCAGCTTAAACCCGATTAGGTTTTCAGTAAAATCAGTTCAGTCATTTTTTTTTGCAGAGTAGAAAAACTGGAAAAATAGTAAACTAAATTTTATCATTCTTTCCGCTGGGAAGTCAGTCGTGTGGATCTTTGGGGTTGCACCCAGACCACTAGAGGGCACTGATATTTTTTGCTTTGATAATAGGATCTAATAAACCTACCTTTCTTAATATATTTTATTCTTCTTTACTGCTTTTTTTTTATTTTGAACTTCAAGTAAGCATATCTCGCTGTCTATAAAAGTTACAATTAACAATTAAAAAGTACTTTCTCTATAAAATTTAATTTTGAATGAGTTTTGATTCAATTTTTCTTCATTTCTCTTATAATTGGTGACAAAACTCGTGTTTCAGGTAATTTTGATTTTGTTCTTCCTATTGAATAAACATAATTTCATGTTAGACGTTATTATGTCTCACAAAAATACATACAGGCTAATATCTCATGTATTAAATATTAATATTTCATCTAATGTACCTGTCAGTCGAATGAACTGAGTGAAAGTTTCGTATAAATATTTCAAAAGGTCATGGGCGATACATATTGGTCTATAAAGTTCTACTTTTTTTTCCCAGGTCACTACTTCTCATGGTCACAATTCAATTCTATACTACATAAAATACTTATGGGAAATCTAAAACCTTTTATGATTTGTAATGATATTTCATTACATTACCAATAAAAGACTATTGTGCAATGTTCCACGTTTGACCATCAAGTAGAAAATGATTATAAATTGAAAATAAAATGTTTGATTGACAATACTTTAGTAAGAATAAAAATTGCCTCACCTCTTGGCTAACGTAAAACCAATGAGTTTGAAGTTGTGCAAGATATGAGTCAATTTTTATTTGTATGAGACTTTTTAATTGTTGTTATTATTGGATAAGTATATTCAATCAATATTGTGTATTTGAATTCTCTACATATTCTCACATAAATAATTTTACAATAGTCTTTAGATTTATCATCATATTGATTATATATTTTGTTTTTAGGTAAAAAGTGATCAACATCATCCAATCTATGATGGATGTGGTACTATAAAAAGTTGTTTTGGTAATAATGACAAATGCGTCGATGATAAATCTTGTACAGCAATTGTTGGAGTTAAAGTAAAAGGAGAAAAATATATTTTCGAATTATTGGGCAAAGGTGGTAGTTATATTGCGGTCGGATTATCGAACGACAATAAAATGGTAAATCAATCATTATCAAGTTTTATAAACAATCGATGAGCGTACTAATACAAATTAAACTTACAGGGTGATGACAGTGTAGTTGAATGCATCAAGGAGAATGATACTGTAAGTTTGCACATGTCTTGGAATTATGGTAGAGACAATATGAGAAATTCAACTCCAGATGGAATAGTATCATTAGAGAAGACTTCAGTAGAGAATGGATTGCTCTATTGCAGATTTGTTAGAAATGGGAAAACTGTCATTCAAGATGAAATATTTGATCTTATTGAAAAAAACTATTATCTTCTTTTGGCTGCAGGAAGTAAATTAAAACGTAAGATTCTTCGAAAAGAATATTTACGGATAGCACACCAGCTAACGCACCATGGGGCGTGAGTCCCACACCGGGGAGAAATTACGCGTGTAGTTTTTTCTCAGTTACTAAAAGCGAGAGATCTTTGCATGAGACTAGTCTGTTTCGGCACAGATCTTCTACAATTTTCTTATGTTCTAGTATAAATGCACTACAGCTCAGCGGTAAAACAGCGATAAACGCAACCTCGGGATTTTTCTCAAGAATATTTCGTCTCATTTAAAAAATAACACGATAAAAACAACTATATGTAGTTATAGAGATATAAGTCAATCATTTTATTTGAAGATAATCAATTTTCGTTGTCTAAATTTGCACACAGTGAAATTCTTTTGAATATATAAAAAAAAACGTTTTGTTTTAGATACTAGCGAAGTGGGATTTCACGATATCATATACGTAGCATCTGACACACCAAAAAAGTTAGCTGATATCGGTAAAATTATGGCAGCTAGCGATGCGTATATTCGCATTCATGGTGCACTTATGATTTTTTCATGGATTGGACTAGCATCTATTGGAATGCCTCTTGCACGATATTACAAACAAACTTGGGTGAAATCCCAACTTTGTGGCAAGGATCAATGGTTTGCAGTATGTTATAAGGATTGTTATTTTTCCTTTCACAAATTTCTTTTCTATTTTCTAAAATATCCACTCATTTATTCCAGTGGCACAGGTTTGGTATGATATTAACATGGACCATGACACTCATAGCATTCATTCTCATTTTCGTAAAAACTGGTGGCTGGAGTCGAGAAACACTTCATGCATCAGTAGGTCTTGCTACTACTATATTAGTATTTATTCAACCGTTTATGGCAGCTTTGAGACCTCATCCTAACACTCCAAGAAGACCTTTGTTCAACTGGACGCATTGGCTTATTGGTAATTTAGCTCATTTGTTTGCGGGTAAGTATCGTCTACATTATTATACGAAGAATGCTTAATTCCACAATATGTAATACATCGAATTATACATGGTAGAGGATTTGAAAATGACTGTAGTCCTACCCGAGTCAGAATTTTACTCTTATTTTGCCGCTGAACCTCCTGAATTCAGGAGCATCAGCGGGAAAAAATTATTGTTTCGTATAAGAAAAATAATATAAAAAATTTTTATATTTTGCCGCTGAACCCCCTTCATAATTCCCGATTCAGAGGCTTCAGCGGCATAATATTTTTAAAAAATTCAGGGACTTAAGCGGAAAAATAAAATTCAGGGGCTTCAGCAGGAAATAAAATTCAGGAATTTTAGTGGATGAAATTTTTTTTAGATTTCAGCTGAATTAAAGAGGATGATATAATTAAATTCTTAAAATATTTAGGCTTAAGAGACCTACTTTTTTGAACCTTTGCGTTGTAGATTTATGATTTATATTCATATCGTTAGAAGAACGGATATAAATTAATAATTAAATTATCTAACTTTTTCACATTTCTGTAAAAAATTGATCTCTTCTTAAGCCAAATATTTAGAGAATAGATAATTATTCTTATCATCCTTTTTAACAATAAATAAAATTTAATGCAAGTTTCATTATATATTTTTGATTAATTGATATTTATTTAAATAATTAAAATTAAAAAAATAATAATAATTAATTAAAACTCATATTATCTGTTTTTTTTTCTTCACTCTTCCTCCTGTAGTTACGCTGGTTACAGCTCATATGAGTGATGAAATTTACAAACGTGAATCTCTTGACGTCACTTGAAAGATCGGTAACCCATTCTACAAAATGTTAATGATTGAAAATTTTTATTATAGTATTCACTTATATCTTTCGATACGATATTTATTATAAAATATACTCACGCCATAAACCCTTGAATAATTCTTTTTTGATTCCTTCGCGTCCATTTTTCCCGGTAGCTGAGTATCGTATGAGATGTTTTCCATAAATTAATAAAAAGGTTTCCCTTACTATTACGGTCCAGTCTTTATTTTGTTCGTACTGTAAATTTACTCTCATGATAAAATTTTTAGGTAAATAAAACGAACAATTTGGCGCTATTGGGAGCTGTAATTAAATAACAAAAGACATTTATTAAATATCAATCAAAAAAATATATAATGATATGTGAATATCAAGTACTCTAATAGTTCATGATAATACTTACTTTATCGTCATTACGGTGTAAATATTTATCTGGTATCTGGAACAAAACCAACATTAAAAATTTTATTACTACGCAACATTGATTTACTATTTTCAATATAGGAATAAACAAATACCTTAAATTCAGGATTTAAAATCCTATTTGTTTCCTGCTGACAGCTGAAGGCTCTTTCGAGTGATTCGACTATAGCTGTTTGTACTTGTATATCTCGTCTTGTAACTGAAACAAAATACATAATTATTATGAAAATCATTTTATACTGGTGATTTCAGTAAAAGTATTTGATAAATGTAATAATTATACAAATAATATTTAACTTTTACCTTCATTTTCCAGCGATCTGGGCAAACTTTCTCCATTATCGTGTTTATTTTTTTGGGTTCTGTACGTTATTTGTTTAATGAAATCGCTCTGACTTACAATATCGTTCTCAGTGCAGCGGTTGACCCATTCTATACAAATTTTCATACTTAAGTTACTATAGTCAATATTTCAGATTTTACATTTTATAATTAAGATGTAATTAAACATGCATTTTTACATTACCGAATAATCCTTTTAAGGAATTTTGGTACGTCCTTTCAACCCTTCCACCGAAAAATTCACGAGATTTTTGCCGTAGACTGTATCTAAAACCATTTTTACTAAATTCTGCCAGTTTTTGGATCGATCATATTCATCCTCAATTTCCTGGAATATCTTCTTTGGCAAAAAAAAGACACATTCGGCGAGATTTCAACCTACAAATTCATAATTTTATTTTTATACACTTCTTCAATTTTAAGCCATAAGTATAAAATTTTCAGGGCCTTACTCTTTCATCGCCTGGGTAAAGATAATCAGGTGATAACTGCAAAAAGTTACAATTTTAGATGAATGAACATAATAATTTTCATTAAGATTATAATTTGCATACCTCAAATGGTTGTCTGCAGTTCTTCTTTTCTTCATATATTTTGTCAAATGATGATTTCATCGATTCTAAAATTGCCTTTTGGACTGCAATGTCACGAACTGTAACTGCAAATTGAAGACAAAAGATTAATGTATCACATATTAGATTATGTAAATTTGTGATATCATAAAAAGAACATACTTTCACCACTAGGCATTTTTGCAATAATTTCGTGAGCAAACGAAAAATTATGTGAATCGTCATTACAAACAGATATCATACCACTGTTGGATTCAGCATCAGATACTAAAGAGTCATCCAAATTTGATTGTGTATCATTTTGCGATTGTGTCACTTGAAGTACAGAATTCAGTTTCATACTACACTGAGCGTAGTTGTTTTCATTCACAGAATTGTGACGATTTATGGTGATCTCGCTTCCATAATTAGGAACGTTATTGCCAAAAGTTGATCCAGCTTCATAGTTTGCAACTGGTTGTTTCCAATGGACAGCAGGCTGATTGTGATTTGATAAATCCATGATTAAATGCATATTATTAAAACTTTTATCTGAAAATTCTGGATTATTACGAACTAAGGGTGCTGGAGAAAAGGATTCTTGATTGTTTTGTTTCATAGTCATCACATGTGTATTGTTGACACTTTTATTTGAAGGTTCTGAGGTGTTGTGAATAATAGCTGTTGTGGTTATAGTCCTTTGATGGTTTATAATATTGTTGTTTTCCTCTGTCGCTAAAGTCGTTGGTGAATCAATTGATGAGTGTTGTCCTTTTCTAATCTTTTTATACATGGGTTTATCTTGTCCTATGGATTCTGTATATTTTTCTTTATTTAATAGTCTTTTCTTATTTCTTGTTTTTTTTCCATTTGTGCTGCATTTTCTAATTCTTTGTCCGTAAGCTCGGCGTTAAAAGCTTGGCTGTCCCTAGTTTCAATATCTTCTTGAACTTCTTTTTCATTATCTAGAAATTTATAATTACAATGTCATATTTTATGAGATTACAATGAAATATTACAAAAACTAACTACTTTTTATTAATGACCATAGTGATTCTATAATTATATCAAATTAATTTCATCTTTAACTATATTACTAACGTTTTGTTGATTATAATAAAAAACATGAAAAAATGACAATACGAAGATGATTACTTACTTGTTATCTTCACGATTTTTATTTGTTCATCTTTCCATATGAAAACTTTATTAACGTCGGGTTTGTTCTTCGGGATGTTTGATAATGGTATTATTTGGTTTTTTTTTAGCACTAAAATTCCAGACAAGGGCGTACAATTTTTTTCTTCCCATGTTCATTTAATAATGCACCACAATCATTTACTTAAAACAATGAAAATCACCAATCAAAACTTTTACTTTAAAACATAAAAATGCTGCACTGTTTATGTTACTTGCCGAATAACGACGCGTGCGTACTTGTCTGTTCTCGTTGAAATCCTTAAAGCGCATGCGCAAGAATCACGTGATGTAAATAACGTTGGTCGTTGGGCTTTTCCCATTCTACTATATCGACCAAGATCTACCACAGCCACCATAGCATATATCGCCATCTTGAATATACATTTAGCGCTACCTTCGATATTCTAGCGACGCTGTATTGTATACTAATTTTTTGCTATTTTGACTAATTTGCACAGTTCAATAGTTTATTATTATTTTGATACATTTTAATTTGATAAAATGAAAATCCATTGAAAAAATTTACTGTGTATGTGAATGATACTAATTACATATGTGTAAAATAAGAAGTGCATAGAGTACATTTGAATCAAACATTTTTAATGAAAGTTGGAGTTTAAAAGTGTTTTTTAATTATTAAGTTAATTAAAAAAATTGAATGTGAAGTCACGAAAGCCTATGAGTGATCTTGGACCACGACAATATCGTAACCGTTTAAATCAGTTGTTTCCAAGGAATGACAATGATGATCTCGAAGCAATAAATGCTCCGAATGAAGGTTTACCAGAACCATCATCAGATACTTTAACGTAAGTATTCAATATTATTAATCTCATAATTATCTTTTATACAATGTCTTTTACTTTATACATTGATATAATTATTTTCGGTGTTATAAATGTGTATTTTATTTGTATTGTGAATTCAGGAATAATGAAGACCAAAACAGACATTTCAACATGGTATTTTCAAGTGATCCAGCACCAGAACTTGAAGCAGAAAATATAATGGAGATGCTCTTAAACGATCATAATGTCAATGATCATGTGTAAGTTATTGAATATAAATTAATATTTTATTTTATAAATATAAATGTCTTAAAAGAGAAACCTAAATTAGAATGTAACAAATGCTATATAAAATTCTTTTTAAACTAGTCTGGTTGGTGAGTTGTTGGACATCCATGGAGATGAGTTGATCAACGAAGATGTTGAAGAAGGTGGCATTCTTTTTGAAGTGCCACTTAAATCAAATAATGAATCCAGCGATGAAGATGGAATTAAAGAAGAACAAGCACGTCGAAATTTTAATTTAAATGAAAACATGCCTCTGTACCTAGGAGCTGATATCACAGTAAAAGAAAGTATGCTATCCATCTTATCATTATTTTTGAAACACAATTTACCAATGACTACTATAGAAGACATAATTGCTATCATAGGAATGCATTGCTTAAAATCTGGATTAATTAGAAATAGTGTGTATAAATTTCAGAAATTTTTTAATTTAACGGAATGTAATTATAAAAAACATTATTACTGTTCTTTTTGTCAAAAACAATTGAAAAATGAAAATCAGGAATGTGATAGTTGCCATACTCAGAAAACATCGCATTTTATTGAGATACCAATAATTCGTCATATGCAAACCATGTTTGCCAGGCAAAATTTTTTCGAGAGTTTACAAATGAGATTTGAAAGACGAAACGGAAACAATTTAATTTGCGATATTTATGACGGTAAATTATATAAAGATGCTTATGATAGCGGTTTTCTATCAAATCGCAACAATATATCTTTTACCTGGTATACAGACGGCATTCCAGTTTTCAAATCATCCAAAATCAGTGCATGGCCTATATATTTAACTATAAATGAGTTACCATTCGAAGAACGAAAAAAAAGATATAACACATTGATTTTAGGACTTTGGTTTGGTGAAATTTCAATCAATTTATATATAGTTTTCGAAAAGTTTTTGAAAAAATTTTATCTGGGATCAAAGTTGAACTTCCCAATAGAAATAAAATTACTGTGAAAAATGTTTTATTAATGGGAGTATGCGACTTATCCGCAAAGAGTAAGTGTTTAAATTTTAAGCAATATAATGGCGAATATGGATGCCCTGTTTGCTTCTTCCCTGGAGTATCCATTCAAACTGGACCAAGATCTTTTTATCAGATCTTCCCTTACACTAATCGATTTGAGATACGAACATTAGAACGATGTATAGCCTTAGCAGGAATGGCTACACTTAATAATCCGCAATTTGGAGTCAAAGGGCACACAGCGTTTTCGCGGATTATGCCTGATTTCTTACGTAGTGTACACATAGACAGAATGCATGCTATTGATAGCGGCGTTGTCAAGAAAATTTTACTCTTACTCTTTGAGAGTGATTTCAAATCTTATCCATTTTCTTTGCACAACAGTATCGAAATGGTTAATTATCGTTTAAAGAAAATAAAGCCACCGAAATTTATACATCGTATGCCTCGTACCGTTAATGACATCATTCATTGGAAAGCATCCGAGTTCAGGCACTTTTTTTCTACTATTCACTACCAATATTTGATGGTATCATGAAACAAGAATATTATGATCACTATTTGCGACTGTTTATAGCTGTTTCAATCCTGAGTTCGGATAAAATTTCTTATGCCATGATCGATGTAGCTGAAGATTTATTAAACAGATTTGTACGCGAATTTCAAGATTTATATAATGTCAAATACTGTTCAATGAATATCCATTTATTATTACATTTGGCTAATTCTGTACGGGAACATGGACCTCTTTTAACAATGATAAAAGATATTGAAAGTATTAATAATGATGATGTTCGTAATTTTTGTTTAAATAAAAAAAAAAACAGGTAAGAGTACTAGAAGAGATTTTTAATGGTGGATATAGTGTAGGTAAATATAAATTATTAGACGATATACCCGACTTAATTTTAAATGCATTAAACCACAGCGGAATTGAGGTTAATAATGTACATATATGGGAATTTCTGAGACTTTTAAAAGATAATCGTTTATATGTTGCTAAAAAATACTCTTCGTCTGTACAAACAATTAGTTACGCTATAAAATTCGTTGAAAATGATGAAATAAAAATGGGTTTTATTCATTCATTTATAAAATATTTTTATTGCAAGTGTAATAATAACGAATGTTATTGTAATTCTCAATATTATGCAATCATATACGTGGAGATCAATGATCGAATATTTTTTGCATCCCCTGTCAAAACCAAAAAAGTAGAATAGTAAAGATTTAAATTATTATCAGAATCTTATTTGTAAATTCCGCAAAATATAACTTACTTTTAGATATTGTATGTATTATTGAATTTTTCTGTATGTAACTAATATTGTCCAATGTAACTAAAAATATACGGTTAACAGTGTATTGAAACAATAGTAATAATAGAAATAAAACTAATTAAACATCATATGTATGATTTGAAACTTTAATTCCCTTGGTAGATTAAATAACCTAAGAATTTTCTGTCAGGAGGTTCAGTAGCAAAAATAAATTTTTTCAGTGGGTTCAGTGGCAAAAAACATTTCTGTCAGGAGGTTCAGCGGCAAAAATAAATTTTTTCAGCGGGTTCAGTGGGAAAATATAGATTTTAAGGGGGTTCAGCGGCAAAATAAGAGTAAAATTCTGACTCGGGTAATTTTTATGACTCAAATAAGTTTTGGAGTCCAGCATTTCTTTTAGAAATTCAATTACATCTTCAAAGCTTAATTTTTCTATATAAATTTTCAATACGTTTTTCATCTTTTACAGTGGCATCTCTTTTTTTCTCTGTTCGATTGACCAAAGCAAAAATACCAAGATGGGTGGATTGGATTTTGATAGCATACGTTATTCTTTATGCTATCAATCACATTTTATTATCGGTAAAAATACAATATCATTTTATAACAATTATAAATATGTTGAAATTTGTAAAACAATTACTTTTCTGGCCGGTGCAGTTATTGTTTAATAAAAACTAGTTGGAAATTGTAATGATGAAAAGTCGAATGCTATTAACCTTTATTTGCAGATTGCAGGTTTAGTTGTAGCAAAGAAGAAAGTTGAAAGTATTAATACCTTTCCAATGAAAGATTTACGAATGAGATCTGTTATTGCTTCGAGCATTAAAAAAGATGCTCCTGTAAGTAACAATGAATAATAATAACAATTAATATTATTTATAAATATAAATAAATTTGCATCCTTCTTTCAGTTAGCGGGATTCAGAAAAATTATACTAAGTATTTATGTTTTTGGAATCGCACTATTTGTAATTATACTATTAGTAATTACCGTCTTGGCTCCAATTGAAGATTCCTGGAACGAATTTATTGCCACTATATCTAAGTACTAAAAACTTCATCGAATAATAATGATGAAATAAACATATGCATTTTTGTAACATATTGTAATTACGTAATATGAGGTTATCAGTATATTTAATTAGGAACAGTATTTTTTGAAACAAGTTTGTAGAATAAGCAGAATTATACGTACACCTATTCGGCTTGAATTAAAACATTGTATTGTCCTTTTGTAAGAAAGAAATGAGTTGTCATTTGAATAAGCAATAAATTTTTACTTACTGAGTTATACATTATATTTTTTTAATAATACTTGTAAACGATATAATTAAACCAATGACATTTACTTCGGATTTCATTGAGTATTAATATCTGTTTTTGATAGAGTTAGTTGGTACCGAAGTAAAGGAAAGGAGAATCCAATGTGTAAACGCCAAGTAAAAAAACATAAAAGCAATAAACAAACTCCGAACGATAATTATCAGCTGAAAATTAATGAGCTGACATATGTAACTATTGTTGATTTCGCATACTATATTATGAAGCCGCATTTATTCTATTCACTAACCATATTACATGCCTTGCTCTATCAACCCAAAAAAATGAGTATCTCTTGAATAACAATGAACTGAAGCTCTTTTACCTCCAGATTATTCATATACACTTAAGATGTCTCAAGCAAAAAAATGTAGATAGATAAAAGTATATGAATCTTTGCACATTAGATAAAGCAAATAAATCTATATGGATAAAATAGGAGTGTCTGTGTATGATTTTAAGAAAACTACCTCCGACTGATTCCGATAAAGCTTTGCAGACATGAAGAAGAGGATATCAAGAGTAACATAAGCTACTTTTTGTTCACGTAAATTATTTATTGTTTATAACGATTGAATTTGTTGTAAACAATTCAAATCAAAATCTACGTAATGAATTCGAGTTCTTCTAATGAGAAATTCTTTGCCTGCACAAAAAAATTTCTAACCATGTGAAATAAACATAAACGACTGCCGTTTATTCATAACAATTGAATTTTTGAAAAATATGTTTTTTAGTTGACAACTCTTCAATGATTTTGTAATTTTAGTATAATTTTAAGTTCCTCGTTCTGAACAACAATACATATATACGAGCTTACCCACACGGAAATCCAATGTATCCATAATGTATCTGGGAGATATATGAAATACATCCAAAATATATCCAAAATATATCCAGATACAAAAACAATGTATGCGGGATATATTTGGGATATTATACTTTTGGCCGATTTTTATATATCCGGAATATATCCCGTTTATATCCCAGTAATAAAAAAGATATATTTAAGATACTTACAGAATATATCTTATATATATCTACATAAATTTTCGAAATGAAAAAAAAAAATTGAAAAATTTGAAGAAAAGAAAAACTTGTTTTTATTAACTCAATTAATAAATGAAGAAAAATTAATAATAATTTAAACAGCAATAACGACGCACAGAAGTTCTCATTGCTGGCAGTTTGGGAAAACCAGTCATACCTACCTTTTTTTTAGTAGAAGAAAAAAAAAGTTTTTCCTAATTTGTTCAATTTCTTTCCAATTTTCTTCCTTACATCCTTTTCGGAGGGCATTCGTTCGAAGTCGATCTTCTTATCTATTCTCAATATGTTCAAAGAGAATTTACAAAAAATATCTCAACAGTTCTCTACTTGAAATGTAATTGAAAAATCTTATTTTTACTAAAATTATGTATAAATGGATATTTTTATTTTGAAATTCAACATTTAGTAAAAATAACCATAATTAAATTTACAATTTGAGAATTTATTGATGCTCTTAGTTTGAAAGGAGCAATTAATTTCCACAACAAAAAAAGAAATCTATCATTAACAAAACAAGAACAGTGTTGGAAACATTGTTTAAAAAATTAAAAAAAACGTTTTAACAGACATTAAAGGTCCATTTCTTGCCGATTTCTTAACTTGCATAATTTAGTATTTATTGCTGCTCCAAATTTGCTTCTGTTAAATGTGTCAGGGAAACGATACTTCACGATTTCTAAAAGAAGATTTAAACAAAATTATTAAAATTAATTCTTTATCAGACTATTCATTCTTAATTATAGATTATGTATTTAGGGACTTAAGTTATGTATTGTTAGAAATTCGCGTATTATTATACCCGACTTTTAATGAGAAATGTCATTATATTACATTATTGATCTTTGAGTAAATAAACACTATAAATTCTCGCTTTTTTAAGGTAAAAATTATGAGTCAATATTTACGTTTTATTGCATTAACGGCATTTTGAGGAAGCATTCGTTTACGCTCAGCATTGGTTTGAATTTTGCTTCTACCTCCCTTATAATTGCTAATCAATAGATCTTCTAATGGAACAATTGCAAGAAATAGGTTTACTGCCAAACTGGTAAAAGTTTTTTGTTCAAGAGCTGTATCCCATTGCTCTCTATCAATGAGAATATTGCTCCCTTCAACACCTATTTCTATCTGAAAATAAATGTTTATTCATTTATTTTTGTAAACATACGCGATCTAACAGTTTTATTAAAAAGTTTGATTCTTTATTTAATGTTAGTAGAAAACAAAGTTCAATAAACTCATAATCGAAGAAGTATATGCGAAATTGTAGAATTTTTCATTCTTGTAACTAATTATAATAATAATGATTCAAGTAAAAATGTTATAACCGTAAAACTGAATTAAAAATTTGCGAATGTCTTTTATAATTCATAACATAAAGACGCAAACATAATTACTTGATATTGATCAATCGTTCGATCAAGGTCTGGAAATATGATGCAGAAACTTGAGTTATGTGTGACGTTCGAATGAACGTCCCTAATTTATTTAAAATTATAAGAATGGCTAAGGAAGTATTGACAGTCAGATACTAATCTGCTACTGAATCTTTCCTCGACACTGGTAATCGAGGTTTAGTACTAACCAACGTACCAGGTACCCTAGACAATTTCTGTTTATCTATTTGTGTTCTACGTCAGGTAACGAACACGGATTCGGATACATTTATAGTTCAATGAAGGGATGGCCGAAACTACCATATTGCGGTAAAAGAATGAAACTAACGCGAAAATGTGCGTAAGGGTCGTAGGAATATTATTGCAAAAAGTCAGGATCCTAAATGCAAAGGAACCCTTGCAAAAAAAATGCGAAAGAGTGCAAAAATGACTTTTTCCGTAATATCTCGAGAACGGCTGAAAATATGAAGAAAAGTTTCAAGTAAAAGTTGTAGAGAATTAAATTCTCTACAAAAAAGTATTTATACATTTTTTACGTATCTCTTACCGTTTATAAATTATATGCCATCAAAGGGACCGTGGAACGTCGAATTTTTTAAAAAATTTGTTTATATTTTAAAAAAACCAAATCAGAGGGCTTCTTTATTACTCTGACAATATTTTCAAAGGTAATGAGCTTTTCATTAATTAATATTAATTTGAAAATTTCAAATTAATTTTTTTTATATTTAATCGAATTGAATTTTTTTTTTCTCTTCCATTCGATTCAGCGTAAAATTTACGATACAGTATGCTCTTTTACTTGGATTTCCATTTTAATCCATGTGAGATAGATGAAAAAAATGAATTGGGGGACTTTTTATTCCTTACGTTACTGCCGCTGAGAGAGAACGACATATCTCTCCTTTTCATTCGCACTCATTACATTTTTCTGCACATGCGCGGCGCATAGAAAAGTGTAAGTACGAGAGAGAACGGCAGTTTCTTCCGTTTCACTTGCACTCACTATATTTTTATACACCTGCGGAGTACACTACAAAATATAAGTGCGAGTGAGATCGCATACTCCTCTAAATAGTGGAAGCGCAAAAGATAGAAAAGGGCCCATTGAATCCTACTGTAAACATATAAAATTTTATTACTGCTATTATTCTATATGAATGGTCAGCAGCTATGGACATTTTTGGTTTTGAGTCGAAAATGCTTTTTGACTCAAGTATGAAATCTGTAAAAATTTTTCTAAGTTTTTTAAATATTTAAAGTATGGAAAATTGAGTGAAAAAAAGTAATAATTTTTATATATACAGATCGATAGAGAATTTAATTCTCTACAACTTTTACTTGAAACTTTTCTTCATATTTCCAGCCGTTCTCGAGATATTACGGAAAAAGTCATTTTTGCACTCTTTCGCATTTTTTTGCAAGGGTTCCTTTGCATTTAGGATCCTGACTTTTTGCAAAAATATTCCTACGACCCTTACGCACATTTTCGCGTTAGTTTCATTCGTTTACCGCAATATGGTAGTTTCGGCCATCCCTTCATTGGACTATTATAGTCTCGAGAAACTTAGAGATATTCTTTCAAGGTTTTCTTTAAATAAAATAAGGATTGATTTTAATAAGGTTTATTTTATACGGTTCCCAAAACAAAGATAGGATATATTATATTAATAGAACAATAATAATAAAAGTTTCAGTTACCAGTAAATTCCTTATGGGGAAAGTGTCACTTTGGTTAATTTAGTTAGCACAATCAAGACTCTAGGTATGATTGACTCAGACTTTGTATCCCACCTACCAGTCCAAGACCGAAGTATGGCCCTAGTAATTAGGTTGAGCCTACTCTGGATTCACTTATTTTATTTAGGGGAAATATTGTGGATTCTATCTTCAACCTTACTTTGAAGCAAAGTTATACAGCTCCTAAAGTAAGTTCTACGAAGCAGAGTTATACAGCTCCTGTAGAGTGTTGAGAAATATAAAGGAAATTGGAAAATAGGTTAATAGTGAATCTGAGCCTCTGGAGAAGACTGACAATCAGAATACAAGAGTCAACGCCAGAAATTAGACTGATTATTCCCTAAAAAGTGGCCCTTTTTTATCAATTGAGGCCCACTCACACATGATATTATGGGGTATATGTTTATGAGTCTTGATTGTATTAGTATGTAGACGTGGAACTTTAGTCGTGGCGTTTTTGACGTCAAGAAATTTTCACATCTATTATTTTGTAAGATCGTAGATAAGCTAACATGATAAAATCTCGTCCCTTATCTATTGTTTCATGAATAACAATTATGGCTCTATAGGGTCTTATAGTTAACTTTAATTGTTACTGATGGTAAAATAGATTTCTTCCTTTTAAATGGACGAGAAATCATCCATTTTTACGGTTGTGACACATGGAAAAATGGGTAAATTTTGATTCAACTGTATCTATTCGACTTCTTCGTTCAGTTATGCCTACATAAATTAAAGGGAAAAACATCAAATAATCGAAATTTGAATCTTTCGAGCCTATTCATC